CGGGGTGCATTTAGTTGCGCAATCCCTCCACCCCCGGCGGAAACTGAGACAAGTCTCAAGGGAGGGTCTAGCTTCGATATCTTGCGATTTAATATAAATCCACCTGTGTCGAGGAGGGAATAAAATTGAAAACTTATTAACCGCGGGGCCAGAAGGCGCCCTGAATAAAAACCGAAATTCGCGAGGGGATATATTGGTTTCCTGCAAATTGCCCCATTTCTCGGGAAATTCGCGGGGCGTGTACAGAGTTGGCCCAGGTCAGGGAGTTTCGCGAAGTCGAGGTCAACGCTAATAAGCGACGTATGGAAGCTCGTAAAGGCGGTCAAATTCGCATTTGTCTTGGCCGGACCTTCGGCCAGGGTCAACATTTGTCTTCGGTACGAAGAAGCGATACAGCTCAACGCCATAGGGGAAATAAACTAGCCTCGAGGAAAACCGCGGTCGAACTTTCCGCTTTAATTTTCGAAGGTGTAGGAGATAGCACAAAAGAGGAGGAAGCGAAATAGGGCAAGCTCCGTCTTCGGCAACGATTGGCTCCACGCCCGAAAGGGCTGGTCTTCGGGGTGGCTTTGGGATGACTTCGGGGTGGTGGAACGACTGCGGGGAGCCGAAAGTATCCGAAATTGCGGCATAATCTCTCGGTTAAAGTAATCGGGGGTTAAATGGCCAGATGGGAGGGTGGGAGATTACCCCGGGGTGGCCCTTTGTGGGGCACCACCCCCTCCACCTCGGAGATTACAATCCATCGGACACTCTCCCGGCTTTTTACTTATTCTTTGGACGTATTCCCGGGATATTATGGTAACTCTCGAGGGTGCATAAACAAGGGTGAGGGGGTGAGAACTCTTTGCCAGCGTCCGCTTAATTGCTCCATTTTTACGGGGAGAGGGAAAGGCGGCTCCAGGGGAAAGGGCCGACCCCGGCACACCGGAAAGTGGCTCGGTCGAAAGTTGCCTCCGGTACGTCGGATATGGCAGAAAAAAAATTATTTTAATTACGAGACGTCAAGCTCGCAATTATGGGTGTTCTTCAGGGTCCCCTTCCTGACTGCTCGCCGCGAAGCCGCCCTTCGCCCTCCCCCTGGGGAACTTTTTCCTCCTTCAACCCTTTTTCCAGCGAATTTCCTCCGGAAATAATGTCAAGACGTCGTCGATACTGCCGTAGAATACATAATTAATTAAGACACGATTTGTTTCCGTTGGAAAAAAAAAAATGAAATTTTGGAGCTTTACTAATTTATTCGTGAATTTTCTGGAGGGACCCAGGAATTTCCCCTGGAGCGACCGGAGGAATTAGCTCGGCACAGCGGAAACGATCTTTGACTCCCTAGGGGGTCCTCGCTCATTTTGGCAATACAGTCCCCCTCTTGGCTTCGAAAACTTGTCAAACGACCAAACTCGGCGGTTCGCCGCCCAACTTCCGGTAAATCCTCGGCCTCGAGACGTTCTCACCCCGTGTCCCTGGCCTAAGTGGAGCAAAGTGCAATTACCGTCGAGATAATTTTGATACACTCCTGGAAAGGAGTGGGGTCGAATTGGGGAAAAAGTCACCCCGTTAATATTTCACGTAATATAAAGTTTCCGAGGGGCACCTCGAAGAAGAAGCTCTCGAGGACGTCGGGAGTTTCGGGGGAGGCTCGCGACTTCAAACGCGCGAATAATTACCGCGACGTGTTGGGCCTAGGAAAGCGGAGGGGCTTTTAAGAGCTTTCATCGAGACCAGGATGGCCAGAGAAAAGTTTGAAAAAATGATGAGCCCATCCAACGATCCGTCCGGCCGGCCGTGTGCGTCGGAAGTGGCCCGAGGTGCGGTGGAGGCACTTTTTTCCCTCTTTCCCCCCACTTTCCTCATTTTCCCTTCGACTTCTTTTTCGCCCAGAAGGTCTCCAGGAGGTAAAAGAGCACTTTCCCGAAACTTGACTCCGTGAAATCCCAGAAATCGCAAGTCCGACTCGTTAACGTAATTTTTTTTTCTAAACCGATTATCCAACAATTTCTACGAGATGCAATTTTCCGGTTATCTGCGGAAAACTGTACCAGGCTCGACATTTCAACTCGCTTACACGCTTTCGGGGGAGATCGATCGGGTTTTCTCATTAAAACGACCTATAGATAAGGTATACATCGTATTAACTTCGACTTTCGACATCCCCTCATAATGCAACCCCGCGTGCAGCCCCTGGGGTACGGGATCCACCTACTTACCCCCCCGAGTTAAAGTAAACGGGATAAACAAACTTGCACGAACAAAGAGAGATAAATTGCCTCTTATCCGATGGGTATTGAAAATGCCGGAAAGCACGAGAACCGACCGAAAACCCTTCCGCGCGTGCGCGAAGAAATAAGGAAGTACGGACAGAGGGGGGTGCAATTGCGCAACCGGGGTGGAAAAAGCGGGATCGGGTCTGTCGGTTCCATCGACCGCGATTTAAATATGCTCCATCCACCGGGAGAGGGATGGTGTATGCCCGAGAGCTCGCATGAATTTATCAGGGAAGTTCGATCTGATTTATCGCACCGGCTGGTTCCGCATTCGGTAAATCACCCCCCGCGGGGGATGCACCCTTTCGACACCTTTTCGTCACCCCGCCAATCTCGCTTTCCTCTATTTCTCTTTTAATTTCTGTTACGACTTATAATTGCGCCGGAATATCGGGAAAAAACCCGATGGAACTGGAAATCCAAACATTTTTGAGGTTAGGATTAATCCCCCTCTTCCTCTACCTTTTTGCCATTTTCATTTGAATTTGTTATCGCGTCGGGGTGAAAATGGAAATTTAGGGTGCGTAGAGTGCTTGGCGAGTAGTCTGTATTATTTCTGTTTTTAATGTTTATCATGACTCATGATGGAGTGAGGATAGGAATTACGTTTTTAGGTTAGGTTCCAGGATACTTTCTGGATGTAAAGGGGAAATAAGGTACTAATGGACGTTTCCGGGTCGGGAGTCTGACATTAGTCCTGCCGTGGTCATGCGAGGCAATTTCCAGCAGCGCTATCAGCGAAAACCGGGAATCCCGCGATCCCGAAGTCCCTCGGGACCCCTTCCTGGATCACGAAGGACCAGCCGAGCAGACCGGAGAGCCCCTTCCTGCGGAGTTTCCGTTCCAGCGACCATGCGAAGCGAAGGCTCTCCCGAGGGAGCATCGGGAGTCAGGTGTCGACGGATCAGCCTCGGAAATGTGGAGAAGGATTGTTCCGGGACGCGCGAGTTCCGCGCCCTCGGGAATCGCCCTCTAAGTCGGACCCAGAGAGAGTCCCTAGGCACCCCAAGATCCCGCGGGACCTCCCGAAAGGACCTGGGAACGCTAATCGAATATTCAACTCGGCGTTGTGTCGGAAGGGATCCCGGGGAATCCATCAGCGACCATTCGAGTCCCGAGGGACCCGTCCAGAAGGATGGATGAGCCTTGGGGTTCCAGGAATAGCGGCAACCCTGGTCGAGATTCCCTGGATATGATATCCCGGGAAATCGGAATAACCAGGAAATGAGAATTTTCTGAAAACGAACGTTTTTTTTCAGGAAATGAGGATTTTTCAAGAGGTCGGAATTTAAAAAGTGGAATCCAAATTAGGGGGAAAATCGACCGAGCCAGTGGATGGTCGGGAAGAATCGGGAAGATTTGAGGAAATTTCTGGAGTCGTAAGCGGGATTACTCGAAAATATCTCGGGACACTTTCCGGGACTTGGGGGTGAGTTCGCTGTGGATGAGTCTCTTAAGTGGAGGTCGCGAGCTGTATTAGTCGAGACGAGAGGGGCTCCCGAAGGAGCTCCGGGAACGGCGCATACATATTTACGCCCTCTCGGAACATTATAGATAATATTTACCCAGCTGCCGCCATCGCACGACCCCTCCGGAAATAGACGGAGAAGCTTCCGTAGTTTAATTTAACTGTCGATCGCTCGGGAAGAGCTGCGGAAGTTGAAGAGACGGAATCCCGGTGTTCCCTAAACGGTCAAGGCAAAGGGGAACTGGGAAGGTCTCTTTGCAGAGGTTGGGTCAACCTCGATCCCAGGGGACGAGGTTCCTAAGCTAACCTCCGTGTTAAATTTCATTGGATCTACCCAATTACATTAAAATCAGAAAACGTGAAAAAGAGGCTCTTTCCTAACCGACCTTTTTGCAAACGTCGACCTCGATCCCGAAGGCTGACGCTGGTATTAAAATCAGGAAACATGAAAAATAGACATTCGAGCCTATCATCGAAACCACGGGAATATCCCAAATACCCTTATCATAAAATGATAAGACCCCAAGAATCTCATAAATTATTTCCAAATCTGTTATCGCGATAAAGTGGACGCTTTCCGTATATTCGATTTTTCTCGGGCAAGTTCTCTATGCGAGGCACGCGTTTCCCGGCGGGATTTTCTACGGCGTCTGCGTCTTCTTGCTGCGTTTCCGCCGGGCTCTGCATTTCCCCGTCCTGGAGGAAGAGGACCTCCACCTGGCCGAGTGCTTAATCGAGGAGGAAGAGGAGCCCTGCTTGCAGGCTCGCCCCCTGAAAGGACGCGAAATGAATTAATCGCGACGCGGAGTGCACGGCACTCTTCAGCGATGAAGGATTCAGGGTGCGGGGCAGAGGGTGCGGAAATTTTCCGCGGGCGAATTAGCCAGGAAATCGGGCAGGGGGACTCTCTAAGTGGCGGGGGGTCCCTCGACAAAGAGCCACGGCCGGGATTTCAGGAGCTTAATTCGAGCGGCGGAGAAAACGCGGGCGGAACTTTTTCCGCATCACGCACGACGGACTCGGCGAACTTTGATCCCGCCTCAGAGAGAATACCGAGCTTTCTTTTGACCGCCCTAACGAGGTCGCGGTCGGACCCTGCGGAAGGACTTTACCTTGGGGAACGCTTATGGGTCCTGCGGGAATTCCGCCTGTCCGCCACTTCGACGAGCTCCCGACTTTCCCGGCCCCTTCGGGGACACTTTCCCGGGTCCAGAGAGAACGAGAGTCCCGAGGGAGGAGGTCTCCGAGGGATGTCCCGAGGGATCATGAAGATGGGTCGCTTTCGGCAGATGCAAGACTCCATCGGCCGCAACGGGTGGTGGCCCATGGGCGCGGTGGATCTGCGGAACTCCCGCATGGTCTCCAGGATCCGCTTCCAGATCCTTAGACGGAACTCCGTGCACGTGGAGTTCTACTTAGACATAAAAAACAATCATTCATTTTCGAAAGAACGTCGTCTCTTCAACCCACGTGAGATTTATCATGCGGAGGATTTATCGAATATTGAAATGTTCATCCTTAGGATGTTGTACAAAGAGACGGAAAATTGACAAGAAAATTCAATACTCTCAATTTCTGATTTTTTCCAAAATTCTCGGGAAAAATTATCCCTTGTCGAGAATATTAGTCCACCGGAAGTGCGGAGAGGGAATTTAGGTCGAATTTGAGGAGCACTTTTGATGCCACTTCTGGGTCCAGCGCGTCTCAAAGCGGCCGCCGTGAAGATCAAAAGGAAATCATGAATTTAAATACCGCCCCCAGAGTCCTGAAAATATCCTGCGGAATCCCTTTGCGTAGAATGCGCCCCGGCGACCGCTTCCGGCTTTGGAATCGATAGAAGAAATCGATACAAACCCCACAAGGACCCCCATGGCAGGTGCGGTTAGGGGGGTAGATCCTGGGATCGTTGGGGCAGGACTCGGGAAAGCAGCATTTCCTCTTCTCCGGGATGTATATCCTGGAATCCTGCGAGCTGGTCTCGGAAAAGTAGCACTTCCTCCTCGAGGACTCGCACTCGTCGTCCTGGAGGAAGGATACGCACATCCTTGATAATGTTCCGGAAAAACGCACGGAATTTCCGCGAATCTGCCTCACCTGGTTTGGATGCAGAAGGAGGCACCCCCCAACGATGACGGCCAGGGTCAACACCACGGCCAGAGCTTCCGCCATCCTTTAAAGGGGTGCTCGTCCACCCTGTGAAATTTCCGTGGGGTCCTTCGGGGGGTGGGGCGGACGCGCATCCTGCGCGCCTCCTCAGGGTGCATTTTGCATCCTGAGGGTGCAGGTTAATTCCCCGGAAACTCCCCTCGGCGAGAAGAGACTTCGCCCCGATGGGGTCGATCCTTGATCGACTGTCAATTTCGACAGACTTCGGTCAATAAAATTCCAAGGACTACTAGACCACTGATATAAAAGTATCCCTACATTTATATATATTCTTATACCCGATGTAATTGAAAAAAAAATCATCCCGAAATTAACTAGACAATTAAATCCTGGAATTTAATCCCACCCCTTGAATAGAACTTGAAATATTCTTTCGAACTCGCAAATCGCAACCCTTCAGGTTATCACGGAAACGCGATTAGTCACATCCAGGTTATTCCTTTATCAGGGGTGCAATTACGCCGTCATTCGATTTTATTTAATCTTTTTATTTCGAGGGGAGTTGTGGGTTATGTTCGGAAGTTTGCTTTTCCTCCCTCGGGACCCGTGTCGTTTGCCACCCCCGGGACCTGGGGTGCGTTAAACCAGCTTTGGATACGTTCTCCGGGAAACGGGGTGACAGGACGTCGCTCGACGTCGCTCGGCGTCGTATCGCATCGAGCACGGCATAATTGCACCCTAAATGTTCGCGCCCCTGCCCCGGTCCTTCGGGGGAGGTTATGTTACGCGACTAAATCCACCCTCCGCACGTTTCAGATGGCCGCAACGACCCCACAGACCCGAGGGTGGGGCTAGAGAAGAGGAACTGCGCTCGAGCAGTCATGTGGCGGGTGCAGCTCCTGATATGTTGCTGCCTCGCCATGCTGTCGGCTATCGGAACGCACACAGGTACGTCGATCAACCCCTTATCAATCGTCATCGAACTCGATAATCCCCGATTTCGACGACCTGGACCGATAATCAAAACTATACGTCTCTGATTCGATGAACTCCGTTTCTCCACTTTCACATCTCTCAGAATGCCACTCTTCTGATAAGTGCTCAAATTGGGCACAAAGAATTACGCCGATTAATATTGCAATTCATACGCGGCAATAATTAATTTTGCTTTTGGACAAAAATTATCTTTTTCCTGAATTTTTTGCTACATCTTTTAACTATCCTGATGATTAGTTATCAGGTACGTTCCGAGCTTAAAATGATGACAGAGAAGCGTGGCGAGAAATAATGTAATAACTCACGGTAATCAATGAAAGTTTTGAGTAAAGTTGCGGAATTTCTTGTCTCTAATGATAAGTGATAAGCTCGGGAGACGCACCCGTGCCGAAATGAGCATGGGCGAAGGCGGCGCCCCGGTGCGAAATTGGATAGGAGAAACAATTTCGCCGGAGAGTAACGTTATGCCACGAGGGGGTGGGAAGGAGGGGGGTGGAGATATTGCTGCCGAAGACCGGGTACGTGTAACGAAACCGGAAACGGAATGCGACCATGGGTTTGGTCCTGGCAAACTTGGCCGGATGGAGCCCAATTGGGAACGAGGTTTCGTCCTGCCGAGCGAAATGCGTTTCATCTCGCCCCCTCCGACCGCCCCTAAAATCGTAATAAATCGAACGTCCGTTTCAATTTATTATGCAAATCCTGGTCGGCGAGTTTCCCCGGCAACGGGACTAAATGCGAGCCTTCCGCGCGGCCGGATTTATTTGCCGGTAATTGCCCGGAGCCGTCTGATAATGCCGATAAAAACGATTTTGACGACTTTCGTGATTTTCGACGTTACCGCTTGCTATCATCACTTCCGGGGATTTTAATCCTTCCGGAAGGATCCTCGGGTCAGCGAGGGTGAGCAGGAATTTTCCGGATGCTAGAGACGCGGATTCCGCAGCGGAAGATGAGGGTCGAGATTGCCCCATTAAGCCGAAATCCCGCAGCAATTCTCACCGTGAATCGGCCCTGAGTGCCGCAAGAAGTCGATCGTCAGGCTCGGCGGATTCCGCGCGGCGCCCGCAAGCGTTTCTGCGCGGGAACTTCCGCCGATATCCCGGGACGACGTCGCGTTTACTTAATTAATATCGCGCGAGCGGTTCCTTTGATACGCGCCGGGCGGGTAAACCAGGGCGGAATTCCGCGGGGGTTCGGAGGCGTTTAAGAAAATCCTCGAAATTCGTTCCGACTCGATCCTTTATCGGCATATAAAAATATCTCTGGAGTGCAAAACTTCGCAAGAAAGGTGATATCGAATCGGGCAAATTTTTACAACGGTGTAAATCCTCCCTGAAATTTTTCATTTCCCCGTTTTCCGCCTCCGCTTTTCCAGATCCGACCTTATTCCCGCTTCCCGGGTCGTTCTTTAAGTCACTCCATCCGTCCATCCGGCCACTTCTTCTTGGCGAGTCTTTCAGAAAAGAGTGCTCCAAGTATTTCTCCGTCGAAGCAGTCTTCGAGAGAATGGCCCCGAGCTTACATCCGCGCCTCTTCGGCTTCCATTGTCGGTCTTCAGGACTGCCACCTTCTCTCGCTTTCCCTCTAATTTCATCGTTTCCGACCCGATGGCCGATGTCGAGCCCGCGAATATTACGCTCCCGCTGGGGGGGTGACTTTTGTCGCCACCCCCCTCGCTAACTTATCCATCGGAAAACCGCCGCGGGAGCCCTGAAAATTCCCGGCTTCTCGGAAACCGAGGTCGCACGACTTCCTCGGGACGTCGATTCAATGCCGCGACTTCGAGGTCTTCCTCGGGGCCGCCGCCCTCTCTTCGGCGACCCCGCACCATATCAAACCTCAATAACGCCTGATTAGATATGAGCTAACAATCTATAAACGGATTTTGGGTGACGCATTTCCCTCTTTCCTCCTCCTTTCCTCCCTACTTCAGATTTTGGGCGACTTGGAGACCCCTCGATGCCCTTAAACCCCGTATCGATAACGACGCTATCGCGGGTGGCGGCTGATAACCTGGAAAAACCAGACCCCGTTTACAGCGGGTCGTCTCGGCCATAAATCCCTCCCCCGGCTCCTTTTTTCCCCTCGTCCTGTTCTCTTTCCCGATAATGCACGCGGCGAAACGCTGGATTCCCGCCAGCGCCTTTTTCCAGCCGCGGGTGACTTACGGGGTGCATCCGTGGGGTGCATCTCTGGGGTGCATCGAGCTTCACGGCTCCCCATGAAGGACGTTCCGACACCTCTAAGGACGATCCGAGATGAAGGGACGGGAATTTACGCGGCCGCAATGTCGGATGCGGCAGCCCTCGGGCCGGATGCGGCGCGATGCATCGGCGCTTCGAAGTGCAGTTTCCCGGGGATTACGGCGTAACGCGAGTCGTAAAGGACTCCCTAGGTCTAAGGTGGCCGAATCGCGTGGTATCGTCAATCTGACGGTCCAAGATATCAAATCTTGGCGAAATTTGAGATTAGACCTCGCGATTCGTAAAATTCATTTTTCCCTCGAACAATGTAAAACTGAGAACGGGGCTTCGCGGGGAGGCGTGATCCCGGAAATGGAGGAAATCGCGGCGCTTCCGGCGCTCCCGGTGATAACGCACGATCGACTTTATCGGAGCGCGAGCATAAAGTGTCGCGACCGTCGAGGACCGAGCCTTCGGGGATGGGGGGTTCGGCGAGAAGAGATCGTCCCCGTAAAAAATCATCCCCTGGACCGGTGGCCCCGCTTCGCGGGGGGCGGCTTTACGAGGCGAACTCCTTTACGGCCATGAATACGCGCCACGGTGCTTAAACGCGGCCCATAATCCGATCTCTTTCCCGAGGATGTTGATGCAAACTTTACAGCCTTGTAGTCGATAACGGCACTCCGCCACCCCCGGCCGCCCTAATAACCGCGGACGGATCGGGGGTGCATTATTGCCCCCGGGTGCAGCCTTCGCGGGGGGCCTCGGCATGGATCGGCGAGACGCAAGGGGTGAGCCAAGTAGCAAACTTAGGAACTTCCAGGGGGGTGAAATGGACCCGAGGGTCGGTCTTCCCCGAGAAAATGCATCCCCCCTCTAGCGAAACATGAGCCGCCCCCAGTGCATCCCTACATGCACTTTGTCAATTATTATCTATAGATTACCGTTTTCGAAATGTAAGCAGGATATAAAAATCCAGAGCTGGAAACATCGGCTTAGGGGATGCCAAAGGGTACTTCGAGTGGGGGAGGATGGCGTATGGGGGAAAAAATGGAGTCTAAGGGTGGCTTTTAAGGCCGGCCCACCGTTAAGGGCGATTAAGGCCGGTCGTAGGACGGGAAAATTGGCCGGTTAAGTAACCGCGGGAACGTTTGTCGTTATCGTTTAGAAGTCCCCGAGAATTCCGGCTCTCCACCGGCGCGGCGACGCCGCGGGGTTTTATCCGCGGCTCTATGGGAAACTCACCCCCGTAAAGCGCACCCCCAGGGTTAAGGGCTTTCGCGCGGGTAAAGAGGACCGGCAGGCGGGCGTACGAGCGAGTTGTAAGTTTCCCCTCGTACCAGGTGTCGACAGGTGAGGGACGCGAGCGGGGCTTAATCTCAACAGGGTTGAAGGGGGTGGAAAACCCCCCGGGGAGGAAAACTGCGCGTCCTCGAATGGCGACCTGCCGAACGCTCGTCGGGCGCTGACCAACCCCAAGGATTAAACGAAGGACCGTAATATCCGGAAAACCGAGAAATAAAGGCGCGAAGGGATACTAAAGAAAATCGATTTTCGATTAATCAACCCCTAAGGGAAAATAAGAAAATATTTAAGAATCGTCGAAAAATACTTCCCATGATCGAAATCTATTATCATTCCTCGTGGTAAGATTGTAATCTGATGTAGTGAAAATCCATGCGTCGGATTTAGCGATTGCAGCAAACCCCTAGGGATAAATTGACCACTCCACCCCGCTGTATATCCCACCATCTGGACATCTTATTCCGATCGATCGGCAATTTACTTCCTCCCCCCAATAAGAGGGGGCCTCGTTAAATTTGACATCGGAATTCCTATCGCAAGATTCGCCTCCCCCTCACGGAATTATTCATCCGTCTAATCTCCATATTAAACAATCCAGGGCGATTTAATTCGAAATGGGATTACCGCATCAGCATGGACCGTTCGATCGGCGTTCGATCGCTCGATTTGTCCGATTAAGGCTGCTTACTAGTTAGATTATGCCTCCACCAAGAAAAAAGAATTATCATCGGACCTCTTGTTCTTCCCTTTTCTTTTTTCTCCCTCGTTCGACTAATTCGCACCGATTAATCCGCGTCGCCGGCGCGATTCGCGGTTGAAACGTCAGCCGGCTTATATTAATCCGAGGTGGAGTTCTGCATGTGGAGGAAGGCGAAAATGTGTGCCGTATAACGGCGAGCCGTAAACAGCGGCGTTAAGGCTTTGATGCCGCCCGGGCGAGAACGAGGGGGCAGGAAAATATGGAGCGCATATGTATCCGCCGTCTTGGAATATTAATATCACGCCGCGGGTTCCGCTGCGTGCCGTAAAAAGTACCGCACGCGGCATTGCGAGCGCGACGACGGCGGCCCTTAAACACGCCTCTCATTTGTAATTAAAAATGGGAACCTCGTTAAGGGCCTCTCTTCGAGTGAGGATAAATATGAATAATTATAATCGAGGCGATTTTTAAATATCGCAATATTATCGAGATAACCTTGATTTCGAGGGATTGTAAATTAAGGGGATGTGAAAGTGCCATCCGAAAGCTCGAAACTTTTCTACGAACTGGGTGTACCGAATTGTTTCATGAAATTTCACTTTTTATAAAGAATTTTCAAAGTATCAAGGAAGAATTCATTTTTTAATTGAAATCTCATGGGCGCCAGGAACTTCCTTACAGGCTCCATATTCACATTGTCAAGTTTGAAACAATTCGATACACCCTATTCGGAGGAATGTTTCATGATCCTAGGTCATGGT